CCTCCCAGACGGACCTCTTGGTTAGCCCTCAGCCAAATAAAATTACAAAACTAACCCTACGGTTAGTATACAGCCTCGCAGTGAATCTCGGCAGCAGAAATCAGCAAGTCATTGCAGAGTAATAACCATACATGTGGCACATCACGTGCGTGCAAGTCGCGCACATGTGCCGCATAGCGCATGCGCACACGTGCGTGTGTAGGTCGTGGTAATCAAAAGTGTCCCTCCCTTTTGAGAATTGAAGTGCACAGAAAATAAATATTTTGGGGGCACTTTGTATCACTCGTTGGATCTAATCTCTTTTCCAAAAGGTCCGCTGCAAAGAATCAGCACGGTTCCCATGACTTTGGAAGGATGTTCATTGAACTGCAGGCAGTCCACGAGCAAGCCAGCAATATATCCTGGATTCGGATTCAGGTCTGTGTTCCAAGAGTTATGGGTTACGAAAGTACTACAGACACTGCAGTAGCTGTCTCGTTTTTTTGTTTTTCCTCTTCTTACGTGCAGTGGCCCTAAGGGCGTCGCTCCACTCATCACAAAAGAAAAACATGTGGGTTGTATGGTTCCAGTTTCTAGGAGAAGATTCATTCTAGTTTTGCACATTTGGTGAGTAGTGGAGTGAAGCCCTGAAAATCACATGCCGAGTTAGTAAGTCAGTAACCCATAACTGCTGGGTTCTCTTTAGGCACAAAGTGCAACCATCTAATCTCAATCTCTCTCTCTCTCTCTCTCTCTCTCTCTCTCTCTCTCTCTCTCTCTCTCTCTCTCCAGCGTGTATACACACATCACAGTTGCTTTTTTTCTTTCCTCGCATCTGCGATCAGCGCACCGCTCGCCGCACTGTGCAGCGCACTTCATCTATGCGCCACGAGTATGGTAATAACCTAGGAAGATTCTACTGCCTGGCCGCGCACCCAGGCGTCATGCCCAGGCAAGTCCCACGCCCAGGGTACCTGGGCATTGGCGGTGGGGGACTCTGCACATGCCCAGAGGGTCCCAATCCGCGTTCTTTTTGTTTTTTTTTAAGCGTTGGCCCTCAGCCAAAAGCCGTTTGCAGTGCTATTCTACACAACATAGTTTTTTTCCAAATTTTTTTTTTTGTGCGTGTTGCTGGGGCTGCCCGAAACCATGCCCGGGGGTCATACCTGGCCGGGCACACGGGCGTGTTTCTGGGCACAAGTTGGGTGCCTGGGCACCTGGAAAACTACCTAGGTAATAACAAAAACATGAAAGGGCTACCACCACCACCCACAGTCTCTGTTCTGGCCATATGATCACTACGACGCAAACGAGGGAAGAGTCCCAGCGCCGATCCGTTTGCAGGCTTCCATTTCAGAAACTGGGTGCAGACTGACTTGCAAAATCTCCAGAACTACCATGAGCAGCTGGGTGAAATTAAAATCTTTTGTAAACGAGAGGATGGTCCAGCCCTGCCCGCCAGGTCGCAGAAAGAAAAGGCAAAGATCCCATGGACTCGGGTGCAGATTGAGTTGCAGATCTAGGCTAGCTGACCTGTGCGGTGTAGATACGTTTGCATGGACAGGTCTTCGTCAGTCCATCCGGCAAATCCAGACTAGCTATGAGAAGGTTTTCCGATTACATCTTTTCAGCCCGGTATCCACTAGATGACGGCATGGTTCAGACATGTGGCATGGATGAGGCCGTGCACACCGCACCTGGGGCGATGACCTGAACATCTTTTTGACAGGCTGCGTAGGCCCTTGGTATGGCCTCTTTCCCGGCCAAGAGGGCCTCAGCCATCCGGGGACCCTAGGCGAGTTCATTTCCAGACAGGGGTGTGTGTGTGTGTGTGTGTGTGTGTGTGTGTGTGTGTGTGTGTGTGTGTGTGTGTGTGTGCGTTCTCAGGTTTTAGGATGTTTTGTGGTTTTTGATGCATATGATGTTGGTGACAAGTTGATTCGTTTTGTTTCACGATTTGACCCATCATCTCTATTTTACGAACTGAGCCTGTATCGCTTCTGAGTATGATGTGAATGCCAGCACTGTCTTGTTTGTTCCTCATTTTCAGCCAGTTTTGTCCATCTCTGGCTGGGGCCTGTATTTGTAATTTTTCCCTCAGCCTAGCCGTTGGCCGAGGCCCTCTTGCAGAGACAGCAAGAGAGGACTTGGACTCTAGTCATGCCCCGTCCAGCCATGCCACTCGTTTGAACCTTGGCTCTGAGTTCGTCGTCACACGGACTTCTATCTGGACTACCGGATCCTTAGCTGATCGGACGGAGAGACCATGGTGGTTGGTGGTCGGCCCAGCAGTACGTAAGAGAGGCCTGGCCCAGCAGTAGGCACATAGCTCATTTGTGCACGACCAGGGTGCAAGGTAGAGTAGCACAGCGTAGCGGAGGTCGAGGAGCCAGCAGTAGAGAATCTAAGGTAGCGGTGTGTAGAAGTAGAGGAGACTGGTGCTGGTGGTGGTGGAGGCCACTCACCTGGCACCATATCTTGGAGACCTGCCACTGGCCATAGCCGGCGCTCTTCTTCTGGACATCTGCAGTGCATTGGCAGTTCCAGGTTCTGCCTTTCCACCGGGAGGAGGGGGGGGAGAGAGAGAGAGAGNGAGAGAGAGAGAGAGAGAGAGAGAGAGAGAGAGAGAGAGAGAGAGAGAGAGAGAGAGAGGGCATTAAGAGGGGAAGGTGATCAAATGAGTGAGGGTGAGAGTATTGGAAATAATGTACTTCAAACGACTAGTCCATCTGAAGGTAAATGGATGAACGAGAAAGTGCATTTGCGTAAAAATAACCAGTACCGGCCATTGTAAAAATCAACACGGTACCGGTACCGGGCTCTGTATTATTGAAGAAGTTTTGGCGGCCCACGGACATTTTGGCCCCCAAAGTTACTGTTCACCTGTAGCTCGACCAGCCCTGGGCCGAATGGCCCCAGGATGGTACTCGTATACCAAAAAGGGATGAAAAGATGGACTGGCGCACAAGAAGTTCACAAAATAACAAAAATCCTTTAATATTTTTGCAATAACGCGACTCAAATCTGCAAAGCTGTGGGCCCTAGGACGTCACTTTTTGTCAAAGACCCGACACGGGGGTCAAAAGTCACGCCCTCAGCCTAAGAAAAGCCTGGGCAAAGTCCAGAGGCCAAGGGGTACCCAGAGGAGGGCCAAAACCAGCATTCAGAGGCCCTGCAAAGAACAGTTGACTTTGAGAAAGTCAACGGTCAACCCCAGTACGGGAATCCGGGCCCAGAGGTCAAAGTCAAGCCGCTGGTCAGCCACGACCATCGATCAGATGCACATCTTTGGCTGTCTGCATCTATCCAGAAGATTCCAGTCCGTGTGGGTCACAAAGGGATTTGGGACTGCGCTGCATCCAGGCCATCGGCTGCTCATTCATCTGGGCCGTAGACCCAGGTAGACTGGAGGCTGGTCAACGTGAGTCAACACAAAGTTGACACCGCCCCTGCTTGAGATCATTCTGCCTTGTGCATTCTGCCTTGCGCTTGCTTGTTGCTGGTGCAACAACACAAGGCTGCTGGAGCTTTACGCCAGAGGCAGACTCTGAGTGTGGGCGCCAGCCTGGAGGGAGATTATGCTGACGTGGCCATAGACACATTGATTTCGACATTGACAGGAGTGTGGGCGACGAGGAGGAGGATCTGGACTGTGAGATTGGTGCGTGTGATGAGGGGAAGGTTACCTGGACTTACCTGTGACATCGCGTGTGCTTTGCTGCTCGTCTCCAAGAGTAAGATCTCCGCCATCCTCCTTGATTGCTGCTGACGTGGATGGAGAATGGGCGCCCTGTTGTGACCTGTTCAATGTATATGTCAGAGATCGTCAGAGGAGAACTGTATTGCTGATGTGGTGAGTGGCGGATATGCCCGAGGAGGCCATGGGCTTGAGGAGAGGCTTCTGCTTCGTTGATTCTTGTGAAAACTCTCCTCCTCCTCCTCTGTCTCTTCTCCACCTCTCCTCACTCTCTTCTCTGAGGTTCGAGACATTGGGAGATCGCATGTACTTTGGGCATAGTTACATAATCGAGTTTTGGAGACATTATTGCTGCGTTGAGTCAGACTTGTATCACGACATTAAAGAGCTTCTCATCTGTCTGGGTTCATTGCATTTTTTTTTTTTTAATCTATTATACGCACAGTATGATCCAGAGATTTGGACAGGCATGCAGATTGACTGAATGTTGGTGCTCAGATGAAGTGTGTTTCTTCAACTTTCTTGAACGTTACCCAAATTTTCCTTTCTCAAAGAAAATTTAGAAAAACAAAAAGGTCTCTACATAAAAATGGCACGGAGCATTGTAATACAAATAACTTTTGGTCGAGCGTCATTTCCGAACTTATACCCAAACCTAAGAGGGATAAACAATTTTTTTCTGGGCACTCCAGAGATTCGGACAGACATCCGGATTTTGGCACGGGGAGTGGTTGAGAGAGGACACCTGACTTGTTTTTTGTTCGTTTCGTTTTGACTCCTGAGGCTTTTTTCGAGTCATCTTCTGTCTTTCTTTCCATTCCCTCTCTTTGAATCTTTTCAGAAATTTAGATTGAATCTGAAACTTCTGAACATAAGCAGCTTCGTGCCATATGTCTGGATTTAGTTCATATGCAAAAGTGACCTGACCTTCTGAGTGCATGCATGCCTCGTCCTTTACTCTACCAATGTCAGGTCTTGCCTCGTTGATGTGCGGATTTGTCTCTGCTCCTGTGTGTGTATGTGTGTGTATGGGTGACTGGGTGGCAATTACCATTATATGGGTCTCTCTCTCTCTCTCTCTCTCTCTCTCTCTCTCTCTCTCTCTCTCTCTCTCTCTCTCTCTCTCTCTCTCTCTCTCTCTCTCTCTTGTTCGCACACATGTGCACCTGGTCTGCATTTGCATGTATATGAGATTGTCTGTTGGGTGTGGGCTTGACTTTTGACCATAAAAGCTTATCCTCCTGGGAGTAGGTTCTGAGTCGGTATGTGGGTACTTCGTGGTTGGCATATATGTGGGGGTCCATGTTTGAATTCTGGGCCACAGATTGTATTGTGGTTTGTTATTCCACGTGTCGTCGGCAATCCCGCAAACAAGTTGAAGAATATCCTAAGGATTATGGTGCTTTTCCAGTACATCCCCCGACTTTACTGCATTGTGCACCTGGCTGGAAAGCTGCGAAGCTCGTCTGGGGCAGTATTTGAACACGCATGGGCCGGAATAGGAGTGAATCTGCTGGTGCTCCTGCTTGTAAGCCATGTGAGTGCTTCTTCTTCGTGCTTCTCCTCTTCCTCCTTTTTTGTCTTCCTCAGGTTCTTCCTCATGGTGGAGAGAAGGTTATCGGAGGCCTAAATTTTCAGATAACTTGTCATACCATTTATAACAAAACCCAAGGTTCATTTTAACCAAACTTGCCACCAATTCATAGGAGTGGAGACCACACTTACTAGTTGCAAAAAGAACAAACAAACAAAACCAAAAACTTCAAAAAGCCTATAAAACAGCAGGGCGTGCACTGAGTGGTTGATGAAAGGATTTCACATAGTCAATCCCCAAAATCCCGGTCCCAAGGTCCCAGTAGGTCCCGGCCCCAGGCTGTCCCGGTAGGGTAGGTCTCAGGGCTGTAGGTTGAAGCGTCGTAGGCCGGTTGGTGTCGGGTACCGAAACGTCGCAGCCCAGTAAAAGTCCGCCGGTACCTGCAGAGGAAGTCGAGTCCCAAGTCCAAATTTGCAGCAGCGTCCCAAGAAAGTCCGGAGACTTCCGGAAACACCAATTTTGGCAAGGCCAAGGCCACGGGCGGCCGATACCGGTCCAAAGCAGGCAAACAGTCAACTGCGACTATTTTTTGCTGCTACAGTGCCAAGCCAAGGCAGTTGTTCATTCGCAAGGTTGCTGAAGCGCTGCTAGTCGCTTGTGCGATAGTGTGACCTGGACTGAGGATAAGCGTCGGGGAAAGAAGCAAGCGCCCTGGCTCCAAGAGTCAGCCATAGCTAGAGTAGTAGGGAGGAGGAAGATGGTTGCAATAGCCGCCAGAAGTTGACGAGACACATCGCAGGTGGAGCTTGANAGAGAGAGAGAGAGAGAGAGAGAGAGAGAGAGAGAGAGAGAGAGAGAGAGAGAGAGAAGAGACCAAGGGAGAGGGAGAAGCCAGACATCGAGGGAGGGGGAGTTGAGCACGCAGCTGTGCCGGGTTGCAGTGTTGAGTAGCGGCAGTTGCCGCTGGATACTTGAACCCTCCAATTGTATATTACCATATTTTTTTGTGGAGTTACATCTGGCGCTGATTCGTGTGTTATCTCTCGGGTGTGGTGTGAACTCTCATGTGTGTGCTCTCATCTTGGATGTGCAAGTTGGTTTGAAATTGCGAGGTTCATTGCACTGAGAACAAGACCTCGTGTCTGCTTGTATCGCATTCTGTCTCCTTCTCTCCTCTCCACGTTGCTGCTTGCATAGAAGGCACGTCTCTGTGAGTTATCGGGAAGATAGATGACTTGTCTAGGTGTAGTGTAAGTTTTGGCAACGGGATATATTTTGCTCGCACTGCAGAGAGAGCCATGTAGAGTTGTAGACATTTCCTTAAGAGATTGTTGGGGGAATGAGGGAGGTGGCAGTTTGGGAAGAGGGTGGGCATATCATTCTCACTTGATTGTCTTGCTGTCTTTGGTGTACAAAATATTTAATTCCGTCCATGGCCCTTCGTTGCTGAGCACAACCAAACTTTACATCTCCCTTTCACGTGGTTCCATATTCATATGTGCAATCTATGGAGATTCCTAGACTGCAATATACTGTCACAAGGACCGCACTTTGCAGAAGAAACGATAAAAATACACAGGACAAACATGAAGAGCACACTGAAACCATTCATTTTTATCGTTCTCCTTTTAACTCCCCCTTCACTATGCCTCTCACGTACAACGCTCGCCACGTTGATGAAGTGAGCCCAAGCTGCCCACATCCCTGTGTGCCATAATGGTCGACTTGTATGCTGTGAGAAAGAAGCAGAGTAAAAGGGGACGGGATAAACAAAGGGAAGAGAAGCGGAGGGAAGACAAAACAAAGAATGACAAAGGGAAAGTAAGATAAAGTAAGGGAAAGTAAGGAATGCGGAATAAAGATTAAGGCAAAGGAGAGGATAAAAAAAGGATCAAGAGTCAGTCTGTCTTTGTTGACAGAGCGGACATACATTGTGAGGATGAGGTGGATTAACACATGGAAGACCTAGCTGAGCATTCTAAGTACAATAATTGGCACGGCGGCTGGCATTGAGCATGCCACCATACACACCCGACAAATGGCATGCCGATTGCAGGCGAAAATGAAGGAAGAATGCTCACCACAAAAAGCCATGCATTCAGTATAGCGCCCATGGCCGTAAAATGGACATACAATGTCTGGATCGGAGGGTGCCTGCAGTCAGGAACGGAGGGACAGTCCTCTACACAGATGAATGCAGAAACCATGTCATTGTAGTGATTGTGACAGAGACGATGGCGGCCACAGTGGAGTGTGACAGTGTTTGTAGTTCTGCAAAGTAGATGGTTTGGTGTGGCGAGAAAATAACATTGTCTCTCTATCTATACTATTAAAAACTGCAAAGGGCCAGACGTGAGGCTTCCCATCGGGCCAAGCGAAATCCGGTGCCGCGCAGCAGGCCCACAAAGCGGCCTGAGTGAGGTGCCCGCGTGGTGCGAGGAGCAAAGCGCGTGTCCTGGAAAGGTTGTGGGTTTCTGCGGGCACCGCGGGCCAAGCAGGAGCTGATGCGGGGGAGTGAGCAAAAAGTCCGTGCTGGGTTTTTCGATGCCGGGCAGGCTCGAAACTGGAAGCGTTACGGTGGAACATCGTGGGGTGGGGTCACGTGCGGGTGTCGGGAGCGATCGCAATGATCTCTCTCTCTCTCTCTCTCTCTCTCTCTCTCTCTCTCTCTCTCTCTCTCTCTCTCTCTCTCTCACACACACACACACACACACACACACACACACACACACACACACACACACTCATCATACACCTCTCCCCTGCTCTTTGCATGTCATACTCTATCCTGCCCTCCACATATTTCTTTTCTTCCCTTTGCCCCTACCTCCCCTGCCCCATACTCCTAGAGAACTCCCCCTTCTATCCCTTACCCTCCACCCTCCCCTCCACTCCCTTTGTGCTACTAACAAATACATATGAATGAGCATCGTTAAGAGAACAGACGATATGAAGATAAGAAATGAAATGAACGGAAGTATGAAGATGAAGGACGGACACAAAGACTGTATAAGCTGAAGATCTGAAGTGAAATGAACATGAGTATGAAGCTCTGAAGAGAAATGCACAGGTTCATACCTTCCCTTTTACTCTGCCTCCCGAAATAACGTGCAAGTGGGTCGTGAAGGCACAAGAGGATGTGGGCAGCTGGCACTCAACCACAATCAACGTGGGCAGCCTTGTGCATAAGAGGCACAGTAAAAGGAGAGCTGCAAGAACAATGGAAGGGGTGCCCCAAGGACAACCAAAAAACTGTCTAATTATAAAATTGCTTTAATATGTTGGACATCTCAAATGCTCTCGTTGTCTGCAATAGGACAAAGACTACTTTGATTCTGAATCTATTCATCTGGGTGGAATTGGGGCTGTAGTGGGGAAAATCTATAACACACACACACACACACACACACACACACACACACACACACACACACACACACACACACACACACACACATCTGAGGGACGGTGCAGATGTGGGGGGCGCAAGTTTCTACAAGTGTGGCAGTGTATATTTCCATGTTCTAGCGGAAGATTCATTCGATTTTGCTCATCCTATCGATGGAAGTAGCGTGACGCCAGCCGCGAGGTTGGAGACTTACCTGTTCTCTCTCCCTCTCTCTGTCTCTCTCTCTCTCTCACACACACACACAAAAAAAAAAAGAAAAAAGTGGCAGTGTATATTTCCATTTTCTAGCGGAAGATTCATTCCGATTTTGCTCATCCTATCTATGGAAGTAGCCTCTCTCTATCTCTCTGCGCGCATGGCCGGAAAGCAGTGTATATTTCCATATTCCAGCGGAAGATTCATTCTGATTTTGCTCATCCTATCAATGGAAGTAGCGTGAGGCCAGCCACAAGGTTGGAGACTTACCTGTTCTCTCTCCCTGTCTTTGTCTCTCTCTCTCTCTCTCTCTCTCTCTCTCTCTCTCTCTCTC